GTTTTTCTTAACCCTTATGTTACATTCTGGGACCTCATTTGCATTTTTAATGTCACTGAAATATGATGCGCTGATGATTAAATGTACTGTTTTGTGGGGGGATCGAGGATCAAACTCAGGTCCTTGCGCTTGCAAGGCAGGTGGTAGAACCACTGAGCTAAATCCCTTGCCCAATTAAATATACTAATAAGGGATGGATACTCATCTTGAAAGCAGCAACCTGTTTATAACAGTTTATTTTTCTAATTTCTGGGAGACCTACTTCTTGCTCTCTTCCCAATGTATATGGCAATCTGGAATTCTGTAGTTCTCTGTGCTCTGACAACTAAGCTGATAAGAGTTTCCTTTTAATTCATGTAACTGATTTTTTTTTGTACCAGGGATCAAACTCAGGACCTTATGCTTCCAAGGCAGGTGGTGGCACCACTGAGCTAAATCCCCAGCTATATAACTGATTTTTGAAAGACTTTTTCCTATTATTTGAATTTTTCATCTTTTTTTAACATTATGATTTTCAAATTACAGATAAAAATGACAGTCAACCCCTACCACTCTGCTATACTAAGAATGGAACCCAGATCCTTCAACATCCCCAGCCCTTCATTTTTATTTTGAGACAGGGTCTCAATAAGTTGCCCAGACTAAGGTCAAATGAATTCTTCATGCCTCAGCCTCCCAGAGTACCAGTATTACAAGTGTGTTATCACCATGCCCAGCTCAGTAAAATCTTTGAAGTAGTGATTAATATCTTTCAAAGCAGGAATATGATTGAGTGCTAGCATGTTTACCTAACACACATGAAGACCCGGGCTCACATATCAACCCCACCAATAAAAATAACAAAGAACTTTAAAATATCCTTTTAGCAAAGTCAAAGAATGTGTTTGTCGTATTAATTAGAAAAGTGAACAGTTATGTTTATTACTTTTAATGGTATAAATTGCCTATTACTAGATATTGGGATTGTGGTATTTTTAAATGTGTATTTTCTTGTTTGTCTACAGTGAATGTGTACTACTTATAAACAATTTTTCAGTTAAGAATTAACGGACTTGAATTTAAGCTGTGTTAATGAAATCTTTATTATTTATAGGGTGAAGAAGCTGATGATGATGATATTTACAATGTTCTATCCACTTTAAAGCGGTTAACTTCTTTCCACAAGTATGTAATTTTACTTAAAGTAGATGTAGTGAATAGAATATACTAACCAAGATATACAAACTGATTGTAATGCTAAATATGTGTATAACAAAGGAAATTTTTAGGGAAATATTGAGGTGTTGTATTTTTCTTCACTATTCAAAATTTTTCCAGTTCCATAGTTTTAAGGTAGAAGATTTATTAATGTCATTATTTAATATATAACAGATGAGCTCAATTTGTCAAGAGTTTTTTGTGTATAATTTTTAACTGATGGCTTTAGAAATCTTGCTAGATATTGTTGGGGTTTCCAAGATGATCAAAAGATACGAAATTTCAGCTAGACAGGAGGAATAAATTCTCAAGATCTACTGTACAGTTAACACTGTTACATTCTAGAAAATTACTGAGAGTAGAAAATAAAGAGAATAAAAGGAAAAGTGGGAACAGAACTTTTGTAAATAAGAGGGAAGAGGATTTGTAGGGAGGGGAGGAGAAAAAAAGACAAATCAAGATATATCATCCATAGGTATAAATTCCCTATGATGAATATTTTCATTATGCATATCTAAAATGTACCATGCCAGGGATTTAGCTCAGTGGTTCCACCACTGGCCTCACAAGTGCAAGTCCTGAGTTCAATCCCTGATACCAAAAAATTAATAATAAAATAAAATGTACCAATAAAATTACTGAGTAGATTTTAAGTGTTCTCAGCACAAAAAACAAACTTTATTTAAGCATTCTACCACATACATGTATTTCAGAACAACGATGGATTTATTTAAAATGTGTTAAAAAACAAAATTATGTACAGTATATGAACTTAAGTTGACCGTGTGATACATGCATTTTTTTTGTTGTTGATTTTTAAAAATGAAATCCTAATACTCCATATGCATGATAAATATATATAATAAAATTTTACTTGTGAAAGTAATTAAATGGAAATGTGGAGGGAAAAACCATAAAACTCAATCCTTTAGGCTGTTATTTTGAGTTGTCCTTATTTGGTTATTGTCACTATGTTCTTACTCTGTACACAAAACATTTGGATTGAATTAGGAAAAGAGACTCAAATGAAAAATCTGTTTTCAAAGTATAATGTGCATATAAGAAAACAGAACTTTGTTGTCAAAAGTTTGATTATCATACTTAATACTTCACGTTTTAAAAGTAGTTTCTGAAATTCAAAGCTTTTTAGCCTGTCTAGTAACACATTCCTGTAATCCTTGCTTCTGTGGAATCTGATACAGATGAATCACTTGAGTCCAGGGGTTCAAGATCAGCCTAGGCACCTGTGTGAATGAATATATCAATTTGAGCATTTTCTTTATACACAAGTAAATTTTTGAAATTCCATGGGCAAACTCCTTAAAAAATATTTTCTCATCTAAAGATGAGCAGCCAGTATCAAAAGGACCATTTTTCATGAGAATTTAAAATTTCTTTTAGAAGTCTTCAGCCCATATAAACAGCTATACTACATTTTTTTTTTTTTTTTTTTTTTTTTTTCTTAGAGACAGGATGTCAGCTGTGTAGTCAGGCTGGCTTCAAACCTCCAGTCTTTCTTCCTCACCTTCCAGGTGTCTTTCCTGTATTTCCTTTCCTCTTAGTTGTGTCTTCATTTTCTTCATAAATACAAATCTCTTTTTCAAGAAATACACGTGGTCATATGTTTTTAAATTATGAATGGATTTGTTTAAAATGTATTAAAAAGAAAGATTACTCATGTAAAGAATATGAGCTAAAGTTGACCATGTGATAGATGACATTTTATTGATCTTTTAATGAATTCCTAATATCAGCTATTTTGTATCATTTTTGTCTCTGCCCCTACCCACACTTAAATATTTTCTTTATGAATCTTTTTCAGTTTGTAAGAAAACAGTTATTTTAATAAAAGTGAGCTTAAGTTTTCTTCCATTATATTAATGCATCTTTTGTTTATTTTAGTGCTCATGATCTCACAAAATGGGATCTGTTTGGTAATTGCTACAGATTATTGAAGACTGGAATTGAACATGGAGCTATGCCAGAACAGGTAGAGATTTAATGATATTCTTTCTGTGCTGTTCTAAAAAGTAAGGTTTCCTGAAATCAGATGATTATCAAAAGCCTTTTATAATACGTAGTTGATAATTCTTTAATACAGATGCCTTCCTTTAGAATTATTGCCATAGTATTGAATACTTCTGATAGATATATTCAGATGTGATAGAGCCAAAAAAATAGAACTTTTATAAATTGTAATTATTAACAAATATTAATTGTACAAATTAATGAGATTCATTGTGGTACTTGCATATATACATACGTAGAGAATTTATCATGTCCATCCACTCTTCTTCCACCCTTTCCCCCAGTTAAGCCCCATTCCAGTGATCCTCCTCCTACTTTCAGATAGTGTTTTTTTTGTTTGTTTAATTTCTACATATGAGAAAACAAACAATACTTGTCTGTGTCTGGCTTAACTGTCAGTTCTGTGTATTTTGATACAGATGACAAGATTTCATTGTTCTTTATGGCTGAATAATACACCATTATGTATAGACCATATTTATCCATTCATCTGGTGGCAAGCACCCAGATTGATTTCATATCTTGGCAAATGTAAACAGTGCCACAATAAACATGGAAAGGCAAACATCTCTCTTGAATACTGACTTCATTTCTTTAAGATATTTACCCAGGAGTAGATCATATGATAAAGCTAACTTTAGTTTTTTGAGAAACCTCCATACTGTTTTTCCATTGTAGCTGTGCTCTTTATTTCTGGGTTCTCTGTTTTGTTCCATTGGTCTGGTACGTCTGCTTTTATGCTCTGCTGGATTTTTTGTTTTTGTTTTTTTACTCTGTGTCCTTAGGATGTCTTGAAATCAGATACTGTGATGCTGACAGCTTTGGTCTTTTTGTTCAAGATTGCTTTGGCTGTTCAGGATGTTTTATGCTTTCATATGAAAGTTAGGGTTCTGTAAACTTCTTTAAAGATGTCATTGATATTTTGATAGAGTACATTGAATCTGTACATCACTTGGGTAGTATATGGTCATTTATTAGTTCTTGCAATCCATGAACATGAGCAGTCTTTTAATGTCTTCAGTTTCTTCTATGTTTTATAATTTTCATTCTAGAGGTCTTTCATATCTTTAGGTTTACTGCTAGTATTTTTGTTCCACCACCACTCCCTGTTTTGAATAGATTTGCTTTTCTGATTTCATTCTCAGCAAATTCATTATTGTTGCATAGAAAAGCTACTGTTTGTTGTCTTTTGATTTTGTATGCTTCTACTTTCTTGAATTCTTTTATCTATTCTAATAGTCTTTTGGTGGAATCCTGAGGTTTTCATGTGTATAGAATCATATCATCTGCAAACAAGGACAGATTGACCTCCTCTTTTCCTATTTGTATGCTTTGCATTTTTTTCATTTGCCTAATTGGTTTGGCTAAAATTCTTAGTACCATATTGAGTAAGACTGGGGACAGCACCCTTAAATTGTTCCTGATCTTCAAGGAAATGCTTCCAGTTTTTCCACATTCAGAGTTTTGGCTATGGGTTTGTTTATATAGCCTTCTTTGCTCTGAGAGGATCCTCATGTTCAGTGCTTTTATCATGAAGGTATGTTGAATTTTGAGTCTTTCTTTTTATTTTTTTGGTACCAGGGATTGAACTCCGGACCTTGTACTTGTGAGGCAGTGGCAGCACCATGGAGCTAAATCTCTGGCCCTGGAATGTTGAATTTTATCAAATGCTTTTTCTGTATTATTGAGATAATCATATGGTTTCCTTGATTATATTTATATAATATTATGGAATATTATATTTGCATTTTCATCTGATTTTAAAAGTATATTTTATAATTATGGAATGCTTCAAAAATTTGTGTGTCATCTTTGTGCAGGGTCCATGCTAATCCTCTCTGTATCATTCCAACTTTGGTATGTGTGCTGTCAAAGCAAACACATTATTCTAGGAATTTTTTAAGTTTCCCATTTGACTTCTTCAGTGGCCCACTGTTCCTTTGAAAGTGTTTTTGATCTGTGTGTTCTTTGTATAATTTCTACATTTTATTTTCTTTTGATTTCTAGTTTCATTCCACTGTGATTAGAGAAAATGCAAGCTATTTAAATGTTTTGAACTGTTGATATTTGTTTTGTGGCCTACTACATGGTCTGTTTTACAAAAGGTTTCCAGGCTCTAATCAAAAGATTGCAGCAGTTGGAGGGAATAATCTGTTAAAGTCTGTAAAGTCCATTTGATCTGTACAATTTTTTTTTTGTTGTTTGTACTGGGATCAAACTCTGTCCTTATGCTTGCAAGGCAGGTGGTGGAACCACTGAGTTAAATTCCTGGCCCCTGTAGGATAATTTAACTCTAATATTTCTTCATTGATTTGAGGGATGGAGGATTTTGGTGATCTATTGATGGGAGCAAGGCATTGAATTCTGCTATTATTGTATTGTGCCTGTGTTTTTAAGTCTAGAAATTTTTGTTTTATAAAATTGGGTACTCTAAAATTGGTGTATACATTTTTAATCATTATATCTTTAATATAATTCATCTTCTTGATCATTACTTAGTGACTTGTCTCTTCTTCAAAGACCATTTTGTTAAATATAATTATAACTGTTTCAGCTTGCTTTCAAATTACATTTGCTTGGAAAATCATTTTCAATTTGGTTACTTCCAATCTAAGAGTGTCTTTAGAACTGAGTTGAGTTTCTTCTGGGCAGCATATTGTTTAATCTTGTTCTTAAATCCAGTTAGGCAGTCTGTCTTTTAATTGGAGAATTATGACCACTTATGTTTAGAGTTATTGAAAAGTATGCGTTAGTTCTTATTATTTTGATTTCTTTCAGATTGTTTTGAATATTCTTTTTTCTTGACCTTCTGCTTTTACTCATTTTCTAGTTTGATTGTTTATTGACAATGTTTGATTCTTTCCTTTCTCTGTCTAGCTACTCCTTTAGTGGGATTTTTTTTTTAGTGAGCTATCATCATGATGGTTATCTTTTTGCTACTTTGTGTATAGAATTCTCTCAAGCATGTTTTTTAGGGGGAATATATGAATAGTTCAGGCTTTCTTTGAACTCACTGTGTTGCTGAAGCTGATCTTGAACTTGCACCAGACCTCCTGCCTCTAGCTCCATGTGCTACTTATTACAGGCATGCATCACCATGCCCAACCATTAATCATCTTTTATAAGGCTGTTCTTGTGTTTATGAATTCCTTTAGTCAATCCCTATCTTGGAAGAGCCTCATTTCTCCTTCAGTTCTAAAGAATGGTTGACAACTATTTTCTTTTTAAAATTTGTACAGGTGTATTTAATTTTTTAAAAATAAATCTTATTCCATTCTCCCCCTCAAGCTCCCTCCCCTCCCTATGTACAAAAGCTTTGTATCCATGTTTTCCTTCTATTTTCACTTTTTTTCTTGACCATTCCATCCTTCCTTTTTCCCTCCCTCCTCCCTTGTTCCCTTTCCCATTTGAATACTTTCTTCCCATTTGCAATATTTACTATACATTTCAGTCCTTATTTCCACTTTCAGTTCTCACACCAGAGAAACAGTACAGTATTTAAACATGTGTCTGATTTAGTTCACTTAGGAGTATGGTCTCAAGGTCCATCTATTTAGTTGTAAATGTCTGAAGTTCATCCTTTTTATGGCACAATAGTACTCTGTTGTATAAAAACCCACATTTTTTTCTTTATCCTCTCGTCAGTTGATGAGATTTAGCTATTACATACTGTGCTTCTGTAAACATGGGTGTGCTTGTGTCACTGTGGTATGATGCTTTTAATTCTTTCAGAAAGATAGCAAGAAGAAATATAGCTGGGTCAAATGAAACCTCTAGTTTCAGTTTTTTGAGAAATCACTATACTGATTTCCATAGTGGTTGCACTAGTCTATCACAAATGACCAGTCATGTTGAACATCTTTAATATATTTATTTGCAGTTTTTACTTCTTTATCTGAGAAGTGTCTTTCCATTTTGGTTATCTACATTTGGAGTGGGTTTTTTGGTTTTGTTTTTTGGTACCAGTGATCGAGCTTGGGACCTTGTGCCTGCAAGGCAGGGAGCAGAACCACTGAGCTAAATCCCCGGCCCGAGGTTTTTATATATTCTAGATAACAGTTCTTCATCTGATGACTCTCTGGTTAAAAAAAAAAAAAAAAATTCCCACACTGTGGTTTGTCTTTTCGCACTGTTGGTGGTTTCTAAAGCTTTTGTTGTTGTGGTTGTTGTTTGGGCTTTGGGTGTTTCTTTTTGTTTGTTTGTTTTGTTTTTTTAAATTTCCCATGCAGTCTGGGTTTTGTTCATAAAGTCTTTGGCTACTCCTTTGTCCTCAAGTATTGTGCTTATTCTCTCTTCCAGCAGATTTAGTGTTTTTCAGTTTTAATATTTAGATCTTTGTTCCATTTCAGTTGGGCTTTAATGCATAATGAAAGATATCAATCTAGTTTTAATCTTCAGCATGTGGAAAGCTTTTTTCAGCACAATTTATTAAAGAGGCTATCATTCGTCTAGTGAAGTATTTGGCACCTTTGTCAAAATAAGATGGTTGAGTTATGTGTGGAGTTGTTTCTGCAACTTCTAATCTGTTTCACTCATCTTCAGGTCTGTATTTTTTTGCCAGTTCCATGATGTTTTTATCACACTAGCTTTGTAGCATAATTTCAAATCAGGGATTGTGATGCCACCTGTCTTGCCTTGGTTGCTCAGGATTGCCTTTGTTATTCTAGGTCTTTCCTGTTTCCAAATGAATTGTAGGATTATTTTCTCTAATTCTGTGAGATATGCTGTTGGGATTTTGATTGGAATTGCATTGAATTTGTTTAACAGTTTTGGAAGTAAGGCCATTTTCAGTATATTGGCTCTTCCTGTCCAAGTATAAGGGATATCTTTTTGTTTTCTTATATCCTCTTCCATCTCTTTTTGAGAGTAGTTTTCAATGTAGAGGTTGTTTCCTTCCTTCGTTAGATTGGTTCCTAGGTATTTCAGTTTTTTGTATGGTATTCTGAAAGGTATTGATTCTCTTATTTCTCTCTCCATGAGTCTGTTATTCATGTATAGGAAGGCTATTGATTTTTGAGTATTTATTTTGTATCCAGCTATGCCACTGAATCTGGTTATATCTAAAAATCTTTTGGTGGAATTTGTGGGGTCTTCTATGCAGAGTATCATGTTATCTTCAATTAATGATAGTTTAACTTCTTCCTTTCCTGTGCTTAGTCTTTTATTTTATTTATTTATTTTTGGCACTGGAGATCAAACTTGGGCCCTTGTGCTTATGAGGCAGACTCCAGAACCACTGAGCTAAATCCCTGGCCCCATCCTTACTCTTTATTTTTTTCTCTTGCCTAATTGCTCAGGCTTCTGTTTCCAGAACTGTATTAAACAAGAGTGGTGACAATGTACATTCCTGTCTTGTTCCTGATTTTAGAGTAAAAGCTTTCAGTTTTTGTCCATTTAGTATGATATTGGCTGTTGCTTTTTCATACATGGCTTAGATTGAGGTAAAGTCCGTCTATTCCAATTTTCTGTATACTTTTTATCATAAATGGATGTTGGACCTTGTCAAACACTTTTTCTGCATCTGTTGAGAGGATTATGTAATTTTTGTCATTGGCTCTTAGTATAGTGTGTTACATTTATTGATTTGCATGTTGAACCATCCCTGCATCCCTGGCATGAATCCATCTTAGTCGTGATGTATAACGTTATTGATGATTTGCTACATTCTATTTACCAGTATGTTATTGAGGATTTTTGCATCTGTATTTTTTAAGGAGATTGGCCTTTAATTCTTTTTGATTGGATCCTTTTCTTGCTTTGGAATCAGGGTAATGCTTCTTTATAAGAATGAATATGGAAGTATTACTTCCCTTTCAATTTCATTAAAGAATTTGAGTAGTAGCAGCATTACGTCTTCTCTAAATATCTTGTAGAATTCAGCAGTGAATCCATTAGGGCCAGGGCTTTTCTTTGTTAGGTTTTTTCTTACATACTCAATTTCATTGGCTGATATTGGTTTATTTAGAATTTCTATTTTCTTGATTCCATTTTGGTAATTTATATGTACCTAGGAATCTGTCCATTTCTTATGTATTTTCCACGTTATTAAATACAAGTTCTTAAAATAGGTATTGATCTTCTGAATTTCTTCAGGATCTTTTGTGATTTCACCCTTTTTATTCCTAATTACCTGGTTTTGAGTCTTTTATATATAAGATTAGCTAAGGGTTTGTCGATTTTATTTAATCTTTCAGAGAACCAACTCTTCTATTCATTGGCTCTTTTTATTGTTTTCATAGTCTTCATTGCATTAATTTTTGCTCTGATTTTTATAATTTCCTCCCTCGTACAAACTTTGGGCTTGACTTGCTCTTCTTTCTCTAGGAGCTTGAAGTTCAACATTAGGTTGTTTATTTGGGCCTGCTCTATTTTCCTGATATGGGAGTTCACCGCTGTAAATTTCCCTCATAGGACTGCTTTCATTGCATCCCATAAGTGCCGGTATGTTGTAATGTCATTATCGTTTAATTGTAGAAATTGTCTGATTTCGCTTTAATTTAATCTGTGACCCATTGGTTATGCAAGAAGGTGTTCTCTGATTTCCATGTGACAACTGTTTTCTTTTAGGACTTTAAATGCATTATTCTATGTCCTCCTGAGTCTTTTTGGTACCAGGGATTGAACTTCAGACTTTGTGCTTGTGAGGCAAGTGACAAAATCACTGAGTCCCTGTCCTCCTGACTCTAGGGTTTATGCTGAGAAATCTGCTGATAATCTAATGGGTTTGCTTTTAAATGTGAGTTGACATTCCTCTTGTGGATTTCAACATTCTTTGTCCTGTACTTTTGATGGTTTAATATGTTACAGCTGATCATGACTATTTGAGGGTATAAAGATCTCTTTTACTTGGATACTCTGGTATTTGCCGAGGATTTGGGAATT